TCACCAAATGTTTTGCTAACTTTTCTGCTTCATGTAAAATCAGGTATTTTGTATTTCCTTCATTGTAACTCTGATTGAACAGCTCATCCATACTCAGCAAAGTGCTTTAAAACGTAGTTCCACTGAAGTTGTGCTGAAATGTTTTGCTGAATAGGGCTAAATGTCATCTTGATTATCTGAATTGGAAACGCCAAGAAATGTTGACAGCTAATGTACTTGGATAGCAACAGAGGTAAACCCAAAAAACTCTATGTCTTCAAGATTTAGAGTTTGTTGGAAAATAGGTGGTTTTCTGTGGAAAATTATGACTTTTTTTCATTTTTTAAACAATTTCTATGGAAAATTTTGTGATTTTGGTGAATATCAAAATATGATGGTCAAAACCTGAAATATTTCAGTATTCAAAGGTTTGATTGTCAGGTGTTCATTTTTTCAACAACAAAAAATCTAAATTTTCCATGGAAGTGAACAGTAAAAAAAAATGTGTTGTTGAAACTTTCCTGTCAGAAACAATTTTAAAATAAAATTTCCAGCCAGCATTAATGAGGCCATCCTAATATTATTGATATGATATTTTTAATGACTAGATCACAGTACTATAGTTTCTATTATTCATCATGACAGAAATAGCTTTGGATTTGATCCAAACCTCACAGAAATCTGATTTTTGGATAACATTCTCTGACACATAAAAAAGAGTAACAGTATCTTAAAAGAGAAAAAGCAGAAAATTCCAAAGTATTTAATTGATTGCTCTTGCTCAGATTTAGCTAACTGCACCTATCTCAGGAAAATGCACATACATGTACAGATGTGTACATACAAACACACACAGCTAAACTATACCCTCAAATATGTGTATATAATACCATTTTATCATGAATGGTAGCCCAATCCAATATGCTTCCATCTGAGATTTTTTAAGAGTGCTTAAATTTTCAGATGGGATTAAAGAAAATAATTGTTCAGCTGTTTACACTGTTCTCATCCTTTGTGTATTTACAAGATGATATTACTGCTTTTGAATCTTCTCTAAAGAAGGCTATGCTTTGAAGATGCATTTGAAAATGTTTCCTTGTTTGGTTAGGTCACGCATAAAGGGATTAAGAGACTGCTACTGACTAGCTGTTCTTGTGGTGGATAGAATGGAAATGGCATAATATGTGAATATAAATACAAAAGCCTAACAAATAGTTTTTTTCTTTTTGAAATAACAGTTGCTAGTGCTATTTTGAGACCATCTATTTTCTTCCTCTTGTTGTTCAAATGCTTTTAAGGATAATAACAATATTTAAAATGACTGTTTGAGAATTATAAGTGCACTTGCTTGTCTTTCTTCAGATGTTCACAATCCCCTACATTTCAAAACAGACACTAAAAATGTATTATTTTAATCCCACAACTTCCACACAGTACACATTCCTGTGGGACATGCACACTAAAAGAGCCAAGATTTTGAGTGTTCTGCAGTTTGGAGTTTCCTGTTTTTCATGCACATCCTGCTACAAAGGACCTTGACTCTGAGAAATCTTGCAATGGAGCACATCAATAGAAAGGGTACTTTTATGGTGTTGCAAATACTTGTGGATCACCATGAGCATTTTAATGACATCAAGATGGGATGATCTGGAAAAGTGCATGCTGCATACATCTTCAAGAATGCTGGCCAATAGAGAAAGCTGCAAGCAGGGACTTTCTTTCTAGAAGAGAAGATTCCAGTGGGGGATGTTGAAAATTCCCATTGTGATCCTGGGAGACCAAGCATACCCAGTGCTCATGAAGCCTTACACAGGAAACCAGGACAGCAGCAAGGAGCACTTCAACAATAGGCTTAGCAGGTGCAGAATGATCACAGAATGTGCCTTTGGCAGATTAAAAGCTGTTTTGCTGGTGTTGTCTTTATGGCAGGATAGACCGACATGAGGAAAATATGCCCATGGTCCTAGCATCCTGCTGTGCACTCCATACTATTTCTGGGTATGTCTACACTACCCCGCTAGTTCGAACTAGGAGGGTAATGTAGGCATACCGCACTTGCAAATGAAGCCTGGGAAATTCAAATCCCGGGCTTCATTTGCAAGTGCGGTATGCCTACATTACCCTCCTAGTTCGAACTAGGAGGGTAATGTAGGCATACCGCACTTGCAAATGAAGCCTGGGAAATTCAAATCCCGGGCTTCATTTGCAAGTGCGGTATGCCTACATTACCCTCCTAGTTCGAACTAGGAGGGTAATGTAGGCATACCGCACTTGCAAATGAAGCCTGGGAAATTCAAATCCCGGGCTTCATTTGCAAGTGCGGTATGCCTACATTACCCTCCTAGTTCGAACTAGGAGGGTAGTATAGACATACCCTCTGATGCTAGCGATTAAATGTTTCCCCTCGGGGTGGGGTATGGCAGAGGATCACCTGGCAGTTGATTTTGAGCAGCCAGAGTCTAAGGCTATTAGAGGGGCAAAATTGGCATGGGGGACTATTCAAATGGAGTTTTTGAGGCAACATTTTTAAAATGAGCACCTGAAATGCTTCTTTTTATGCAACACTCTGTCACGCTTTGTCAACTTGATGCCTTGCATGAAAGTTTTGGTGATTCCTGAATAGGATTTGTTTTTCAGAAAATGATAAAGTTGCCATTGGATATTAATTTCCGCAGTAATACTCATGTTTTGGAAACAAATAAAGATAGGTTATCTTTCAAGAGTTTTAAAATTAAATATCAATTAACAATGCACACACAAAAGGTTTGGTGGGTTGAAGATTATAGTGAAGAGCAGTATGTCTTTATCTGGCTATTATTTTGGATGCTATCTGAAGGGGTGGAGTGAACGGGGTACTTAGGCAGGCTAGGAACTTGCAAGACATATGTGAGAGGAGTTTGGGGAGTGCATAGAAAGCAGACGGTGAGCGTCCATATTTTCTACTGCAGCATGATTAGGAACTTAACATCTCTGTTTGCTCCTACATCACTTTGATCATCTGCTCCTGGCCTGCTATAATTCAATCCTAAATTCTGCTTCACTATTTAAAATCTTTCCTTTAACGTCTCTCCTCATTCCTTGTGGTCCTGTTTTTCAGCCTGGGAATTGGAGCATCTCTCAGAACATGTCCTCCTTGGTTGCTTCCTTAATTTAGGAAGATGCTCCACCAGTGTGTAAGGGGTTCCCCAGAAGGCTACATCTTCAGAAGCACAAGAAACAATAAACTGAAGTGTGATTGTTCATGTTCAACAACCGATTATTATAGTAAAATATGCCTCTTTTTAAATAAGAATCAGTTTTTTACTGTCCACTGGCAAGTACTAAAATCAGCAAATACCCTAAACATGAGGATTTCATCCTGGATGGCGGAGGGGGGCGGGAGCGTGGGACAATGAACCCGGGCCAAAGGATCCAGGTGATTTTTTTAAGGGGATCACTGCATGTGACTAGGGACAATGTTGCAAATTTTGCCACCATTTTCTATAGGCATGGGTCACTGAAGCCAATAGTATACTCCTGAGGATAAGCAAGGATGCAAAGGTGCAGTTCCTGCATTTGAATGCAGGTCCCTGTGCTTCTCACCCGTGTGCCACTTTGGTCCCTGCACAAGGAATTGCTGATTGGTGCAAAAAGAGTCCTCCAGTGGATGAAGGCACAAAGCAGCTCTTCCAAGAAACCTTTGATAGACAATTGGAAACTATCCCCTGAAAAGTTTTCTTGAGATTTCACTGGATGATTCCCATGACATCTCAGTGTTCATTAACACGCTCTTCTGACCCACTCCAAAGCTGCACAGGAGAATGTGAACCAGTACTAGTCCTGTACATTTCTATCCCTTCACACACTTCTAGAATATACAAAGCAAAGGACAGTTCTGTCTCATATAACCAAGCAGCATCAATTCAAATTTAAAAAAAAGCATTCACCTGAGCTCTTCTCTCCTGTATCATGAACACCAGAGATGGACTTCTGGGAATGCCTGGAACCCTCTAGAGTGGAAAAGGGGTCCAGACTCACCATGCCACCAGATGATCCTGCCATCCTCCCCATGGACCTTCAACTCAACCTCCTCATTTGCAGCTTCATCCTTGGGATTGAGTCTACTGTCCACAGTTTCCAATGCCACTGAAGTAACCACAGAGTTAGTGAATTTGGGGTCACTGCAGAGGATGACATCCAGCTCCTTATAAAACATCAGGTCTCTGGCATAGCATAAGAGCAACAGTTTTACTCCCTCACCTTCTGATATGCTTGCTCCTTTATTTTTGTATGGCACTTCTGTATGTACCATTCATAACCCTTCTCCAGAGTGAAATCTGACCATAGGTATAAAAGTTACTCTGTCTGGAGCAGTGCTAGGAATGCACATCCTCCTCTCCCCACAGTCACAGCAAACGCAACAGTGCAGGTATGCTCCAAGTGAGGAGCCACCATTGTCCTCTGGGACAGTGTGATATGAGCTGTCCATGAGCAAACAGGAAGTAGAAATTCAAAAATTCCCAAGTCTTTAAAGAAAAAGAACCAGATATGTAGCTGGGTGCAGGGCAGCAGAGTTCTAACTACTGAGCAGAGCAGTAATGAAGGTCATTGTGGGATGCATCCTGAAGGCCATTTATAGCAATATAACCAAGTGCAGTCTCTACACTCCGATACAAAAAGCTCATTGCCTCTCATTAAGGTGTTTGTGGGGGTTTTGTTGTTGTTGTCAAAGCAGGAAAGTTTTGTCAGTAGACAGAGCATTGCAGTGTGTACATCTGACTTTTGTCAACAACTGTGTAGTGTAAACAAGGCGCTAGAATAAGCTTGTCCCTTGCAAAACAAGTGTCCCTGTGCACTTCTGTTCATTTAGAGCAGGGGTGTCCAAACTTTTTTCAAAGAGGGCCAGATTTGATGAAGTGAACATGCGTGAGGGCCGGCCATTTTGCCTGACATTCTTTGAACCATTAAAATTAAATGCAAATTAACTATTTTATGCAAAGTTTATTGCAAACGGCATACTTTTCATTTCGTCACATGGATGACAAATCTAAACAGGTGTTAAATCACTCTGCCTTTCATATCTGAAGGCCAGATGAAAAAAAAATCCAGGAAGCTGAAATATATGTCAGGAACATTGTAAAGTACATTACATATTATTGATAATAAAGGTTGTCTGTCAATTTTAAGTTCAAAAAATATGAACAGGAACATAACACCAAGTATACATGTTGTGTCTAAATATATTTATAACTGATTTAGACCAACTGACATTAACTGAGATTTTACAATGTATTCATCTCAATACATATGGATTCGTTGGGGGCCATAAAAGATAGATATTGCCAAATTACCTGGGGGGCCGTATTAAACTGGAACACGGGCCCAATTGGCCAGCGGGCCGGACTTTGGACATGCCTGATTTAGAGCAATGTTGTCACAACCCTTATTCTTCTAGGCAGAGAGTCCTACCTAGCCCTGTTCAGTTTGCAACTCTGACTTTGTCTGGAAATGGATGACAGGGGAGGGATCATATGAGGATTACCTGTTGTGGTCCCTTCCCCTGGGGCATCTGGCATTGGCCACAGTTGGCAGACAGGATACTGGGCTGGATGGACCTTTGGTCTGTCCCAGTATGGCCATTCTTATGTTCTTATGTACAAGAAAATAGCAGGAACACCTCACTCAGTATTCCTGCACCTTTAAGTAAGTGGGGAGGAAGGGTGCAGGAAGTAGGAGTAGCCTTGCCTGTCGGCCCTTTATTTGCAGCCAAATGGCTGGATGGATGCACAGGAGAGAATAAGCTACACACCAAAATAGGGGGAAGCAACTTATTTCCCCCCCCCGGTTAGATGGCTTGCCTTTATATAGAACTTAAGTGAAGACACTGCTATACTGAAGGGGAGCTTCTACTTTTGCTGTAATTCATCTGCCTCCCTAAGAGATGGTAGCTATGTTGACAGCCAACATTCTCCCATCAAGATAACGCCATCTACATGGGAGTGGGGGAAGTCAGTATAACTATGTTGCTCAGGAGCATGGACTTTTCATACCTCTGAGCAACATCATTATACCTATAGAAGTTGGAAGTGTAGATCTGGCCTGAGTAAAAATTTGTTCTCTGGGCTGCTCCTGGAGAAGTGTAGTTAAATGCTACCCCTATCTCTGGCAGATCATGAAGTCCCAATGGTATCCCTCAGTGTTAGAGCTTCCATTCACTCTCACTGTTCATCTACCATTCACCTTTTCACCATCCAGAAGAGCTGGCTGATTTCAGAGACTCACACTTAGCTTTATATTTCCTGAATTGCAAAAGGTTCTCCTAGGGCAGGCTATAATAAGTTCTTTGTAATATTCAAACAGAATTCAAAAGCACTTGTTATCCAGTTCCTCTTCATCCTTGACTTGAAAATTGCCTAAGATCACTTTTTCTGTTTGCATCACAGGATCATCCATAAACAAGGCTTCACAGATCAGGAATACATGGAATTCAAATCGGTCATTTACAGTAACGTGTTGCAATCCATCCTGGCTATCGTGAAGGCAATGTCAACATTAGGGATTGATTTTAAAAACCCAGCCAGTAAAGTGAGTATGACACTTGTGCCTTTGAAACAGGCATACAAATATAAACTTGTGTATTAAAATCTTGAATCTCTATGGGATAGCAAGAGAACTCAGCCTTTGTTTCCCAGTAGTGGACACATTTATTCTGCTTCAATTTTGTTTGTGTCACAATGTCCTTAGTCTTTTGAACTCTAACACTTATCCATTAAATTAACCTTTTGTGAAGGATGAAACAAAAGATTTGAGATTTAAACTTTTATGCAAAATGTTATTCAATTTGTACAAACATTAACCAGAATCGAAACCAGTAACTCAGTATAATTCAGCTTCTGACAAACAGAAGCTAGAGACACCATTTCTACCCATACTGGTGAATAGACATTGATGGACCTATCCTCCATGAATTTGTCTAGTTCTTTTTCGAACCTTGCTAAGTCCCAATATTTACAACATCCCCTTGCCAAGAGGTTCCACAGGTTGGCTGTATGTTGTGTGAAGAAATACTTCCTTTTATTTGTTTTAAACCAGCTACCTATTAATTTCATTTGGTGACCCTTCATTCTTATGTTATGGGAATAAGTAAATAATTTTTCCTTGTTTACTTTCTCCACACCAGTCATGATTTTATAGCCTTCTATCATATCCCCCTTTATTCTTCTCTTTTCTAAGCCAAAAAAAATCTCAATTTTATTAATCTCTCCTCATATGGCAGCTATTCCAAACCCCTAATTATTTTTGTCACTTTTTTCTGAACTTTTTCCATGTCAAGATACCTTTTTTTGAAATGAGGTGACCATGTCTCTTTGCTCTATTCAAGATATGGGCCTAGCATGGATTTATACAGAGGCAATAAGATATTATCTGTTTTATTCTCTAAAAAAGCTGTTTGCTTTTTTGACTGCTTGCTGCACATTGAGTGGATGTTTCTAGAGAACTATCCACAATGACTCCAAGATCTCTCTCGACTGATAATAGCTAATTTAGTCTCCATCATTTTGTACACATAGTCGGGATTGTGTTTTCCAGTATGCATTACTTTGCATTTATCAACATTAAAATTCATCTGCCATTTTGTTGCTCAGTCACCTGGTTTTCTGAGATCCTTTCGAAGATCTACACAGTTTGGTTTGGTTTTAACTATTTAAGCAGTTTAGTATTATCTGAAAATTTTGCCACTTCACTGTTTTCCCCTTCATCCACGTCATTTCTGAATATGTCAAATAGTCTTGGTCCTATTGAATGGTTCACTGCCATGAAGAAACTACAATGCAGGTATGTTGCTGGACCTGATAGTATAATACCTACATTTCTCAGGTGCATGGCCTGTGAGTGAAGCATCTTGACAAAGTGCCCTTTATTTCTAAATATATTTCGAAGTAATGGGCGCACTATTCCGGCATGCCTGAGGGTCAAGGGACTTGTTGGGCTAGCAGAGGCGTAGCGAAGGGGAGGCAAGGGGGGCATTTGCCCTCGGGTGCCATGCCAGGGAGCGCAGGGCTGGGCTGGGAGCAAAGCACACGCTGCTCTGGCCCACATGATACTTTTGAACAGAGACTGAGAGTTGGCTAAATGCTCCTGGCTCTCTACACACTGTGAGTTGAGGCAGCAGGGCCGGGTGGCAGCAGCGGCCACTGTAAAGATTAGAATCCCTTACCCGGCTGTTCCGTTCCTCCCGTGCCTGGCTCTGGGGGGGGGGGGGGGGGGTTTCGAATGGGGAGAAAAGTGTGGTGCAAACCTCTAAATTATTGGACTGTGCAAAGTAATTTAAAACCAAATTGCAGTGGCATCCTAATATCGTGGAGTCTGCAATTAATCCAGATGAAGTTGGACGTTACTCATTATAAAATGACCTATTAACTTAGCTATTCTCTAGTCTGCAGTATTGGATTTCCTTTACAGGTTGTAAGTCAGCACTTTTAGGTGAGTCATGTTTCCCTAATTGTAGGGACAGGTGAGAGGAACAAACTCAGTGGAGGAGAAATTTGGCCTGAAACCAGAAGACCGTACTTCCTGTTTCCTTAAGCTAATACTGCACCTATTGATTAGAGTGAGGGTTGTTTGTTCACTTACAACAGGCATGTCATACTCGAAGCCTACTGAGGGCCGTATAAACAAAAACTGATAGCTTCCAGGGCCACGAAAGAAAATGTACTTCTATTGGAAAGTTGTAATTATTTATTATTATAGATTGTTTTAGGTATATTTTATAATAATTTTTCAGGGCTTGTTTTAATATAATACAATAATTTGCTGTTAAATTTTATATGAGCAAATAATTTTAATATAAATTTAGGGTACTTTTAAATTTTTATGATACATAACTTGTTTTGTTGAAATAAAAACAAATATAGACCATGGTTAATCAAATAGAACAGGCTTCTATGAAAATTTCAGATACTTTGCAAGTTTGAGATTTTTGCATAAACATATAATTCGTGCAATTGTGACATATATTCGATATAAAACTAATATACATTTTGTGATTTTATTTGGAAATAAATAAATAAATAAATAAATAAAAACCAAAACAGTAACAAAATATCCCCCTCCACTGCCCCAGAGCCAGGCACTCCCATATCCCCGTTCTAATCCAATTCCCCTCTGTTCCCCCAGAGAACCCCCCCTCTAACCCAATGCCTCCTCCCTCCCCCAGACCCAGGCACTCCCAGCCCCTCCCCCCCATACCTAATGCCTGGGTCCCAGAGCCAGTGTCACTGCCACCACACGTTTCTTCCTCAGGTGCTGGGGAGGTGTGAGCACAGCAGCCAGCTGTGAGCAGGCACCTCATATTTGTCTTTCCTAGGAATTGAGGGACCGGCCCTGGCCTGATATGCTGAAGTTGAGAGGCACAGAAGGGGGTAAAAATTGTACCTGGATCTGTCCTTTGTCTTAAGTGTACACATAGACTTAGAGCTCTTTAAAGATTAAGCTGTCACTTGGTACCATTATTTCTATTTTCTATCTTTATTTTCTTTGTAACCATTTTTAAGATCTATATTTGCTAGCAGTTAAGAAATAGAGCAATAGCCATTGTAACCATATGATTTATAAGCTTCTTTAATAAACCTGTAACTGTTTAAGCTTTAACCTGACTCCTTCAGTTGCTGTAACAGAACCAAGCACAATTTAAAAGAACTTCAGCCGGTCATAAAGGGACAGATATAGGGAGAGCTTGGGCGTTTGGATTTGTGTCACACCCGGTCACAGGGAGCAGACGCAGGCAGAGTTGGGCATTTGGATCGTGTCACCTCCAGGGGACAGATCCGTAGGGGCATCCGTCAGCCTTCTCAAGGCTGCCCGCTGCGATGGGACCTTGGTCCTAGCAGCTAAAGACACGGGTGTAATAAGCTCTCTCTGCAAACTTTGGGGCATCTGTCAGCCTGTTGGCTGCCCGCCGCGAAGGGACCCCGGTCCTAACAGTCAAAGACATGGACGTAAAACTTCTCGGGGCACCCGTTGGCCTCCCCTAAGCCCGCCCGCTGCGACAGGACCTCGTGTCCTAGCAGTTGAAGACTCGAGTGTATAACACACACACACACACACACACACACACACACTGCTCTGGCCATCGGCTGACAAGCAGTCTGCTCAAGGCAAAGTTGGCCTTGAGGTCCTAACAGTCAAAGACATGGACGTAAAACTTCTCGGGGCACCCGTTGGCCTCCCCTAAGCCCGCCCGCTGCGACAGGACCTCGTGTCCTAGCAGTTGAAGACTCGAGTGTATAACACACACACACACACACACACACACACACACTGCTCTGGCCATCGGCTGACAAGCAGTCTGCTCAAGGCAAAGTTGGCCTTGAATCTTGATATCTATGGCTTCAATTGTATGTCTTATGTGAAATTTGGAAGATCAGCTCAAAGAGACCTCTCTCCTTTACTTAAATATAGAATGGCATGGCAGCCAGAAGGAAAAAGTCCTCATGGCAAACAGAAAGCCACTCTTGCAGGGTATCTTCAGCCTTAGGCTACTTATTGCTTCAAGTGCCTTCAAGAGAGCGAGTGTGTGTGTTGTGTGTTAGTTTTATTTAAAAGTTTTTTGGCGTGTTAGTTTAACAGGTAAGTTAATCTCTTACACTGATAACTCTTGTGTAGTTTTTTGCTGTGCGATTATGTGAAAAACAATTAGGTTAAGTAGGTAAGTAAATGGGCAGTTAAGAAACACTACAGATTGCTTATAATGCATTTATTAGGTATCTCGTTAGTCTTTAAAGTGCCATATAACTTTTTTCTTTTTGTTTTACCAAGATTCGACTAACATAGCTACCTCTCTATTACAATACATTTGATATGCTCAAAATCTTTTTTTACTTTTATTCATTAAAGCAATGTGTTACTCGTTTGCTATAACAGTGGTTTTAAATGCTTGAATGAAATATAGTGATGAAATTCATATTTAGGTTGTATAACATTAACGTCTCATGTTTTATAAAACTTATATATTTAAGAATTTGACTTTTTTTATGTAAAACACATGAACCTAATAAGAACGGGATATGAACAAATTAAAGAGAAAAAATTATTTAAGAAATGTAAACCACAAAACTTTATAATTTATGTCTGTAGTTAGTAAAATAGGTAATTCATTAAACAATAAATATCCTAAGAGGTGGATTATTTACAATGGTTTAGTGAGGAGGGCACGGAGGGGGGGAGTTGCCCCCTGGTGCCACATCTACACTCCCTCTGTCATCCCCCTGCTCACCTGCTCCTCCTCTGCCTGCCACCACCGGCTGGAGCTACCTCCTCCCTGTCTTTCTGCCCCCAGCCCGACTCCCTCCACCTCTGCCAAAGTATTAGTGTGTGCGGGACCTAGCCCCAAACTGGAGGGGGTCAGGTAAGACTCGGTACAAGCTCCCCCCACTCCTCCCAGGGTCGAGCTCAGCTATACACCAGTATTGGGGCCCCACCATATGGCAGGAGGGGGCACCAATTTTGTCTTCGCCCCCGGGCGCATAACACCCTTGCTACGCCTCTGTGGACTAGTGCTTTATTTTGAAATTTGTCACTGTGTAGACAGCACCAAATTTTGAAATAAGCTATTTCGAGGTATGGGTGGTGTGTAAATGCACCCGGAGTCCTAAATGTTATTCTGAGATCAGAAGGTGGCATTGCTTGGCTATAGACTGGCAGCAGCCAAATGGTCATCCATGCTTAACTTGGCAGATCAGTACTTTTAGACACCTGGAATAAAGCTATACAATTTGGCCATGGACATTTGATGCCACAGATCTTTGCTGTCAAACACATTGTTGTTGCTATATAATTCACATCCTGTTACAAATTTCTCAAAGGTTTAATCATAGCCAGAATTTCTATTGGCTTTTTTCATTATGGAATGAGCTGCTTATTGAATGTTACTCTTGCATTCAATATAGATATTCTCCAAAGATTTATTTTATATTGAATTGAAACCATTTATGTGAAATTAACTTCTTATTCCAAAAGGCAGCATTTTATGATAATGGCATATGGCATGTTGGCCTAAAAATTATAAACAAACACTTAGCAGTTTGAAGAAAATGAAGAATGATGAAATGTAGAAAAATATAAATTCTGCTAGTTTATAACACAATGAGCCTGTTCCAGAGCTCACTGGCATTAATAATAAAATGGTTCTCTAGAATCAGAGCTGGACCCTGCAGATACAATGTTTTATTCATAACGAGAGATGTGAAATGTTTCTGATGAAGCCTCAAACCATTTGAGTTTCATTATGAATGTGAAATGGAGATCATGTTTGTTCCAAAGTCCATCAATTCATATCCCTCCTTGGTGAGCCTGGACTAAATTATGCTTTCTATTGCACCATTCATAGTTTTTGGAAAAGAAACAATTTCCATATGAGGAGAGGTTTAAAAGACTGGGACTTTTCAGCTTGGAAAAGAGATGACTAAGGGGGGATAAGTTAGAACAGTATAAACTCATGACCGGTGTGGAAAAAGTAAATAAGGCTGTGTTATTTAGTCCTGCTAATAACACAAAAACTAAAGGTCATTAAAAACAAAGGAAATTAATAGGTAGCAGGTTTAAATAAACAAAAGGAAGTATTTTTCCACACAGTGCAGTCAATGACTATGTCTAGACTATGGGGTTTTTCCAAGATACCTCTTGTATTCCAAAGAAACTCCACCACGTCCAGGGAACGCATCTGCTCTTCCGCTTTTTTTTGCAGAAGAGCAGACTCACTCTTTCAGAAGCACTATTTTCCTCCTCCCACAAGGAAGAAGTACTCTTCTGAAAGACGGGTTTTTTTCCAAAATTTGGCCCAGTGTAGATGGGACAAATTTCAGAAAAGACTCTTCCAAAAAAATATGGGAAAAAGTACACAAATTGCAAAGCGTAATTTGCATACCTTTTTCCGATAAAGCCCCATAGTGTAGACATAGCCAATGTATGGAACTTGTTGCCAGAGGAAAGGGTTCAAAAGAGAATTAGAACTAATAGAAGACAGGTCCATCATTGGCTAGTAGTCAGGATGTGCAGGGATGAAAAGCCATGTTCGGAAGTGTTCCCTGCCTCTGTTTGCCAGAAGCTGGGAATGGGCACTGCAGGATGGATCACCTGATTACTTGTATTGTTCATTTCCTCTGAAGCACCTGGTATCAACCACTGTTGTGTGAAAGGATTCTAGGTTAGATGGACTGTTGGCCAGATCCTGTATGGCTTTCTTATAGCCTTATGTTCTTACCCTTTCTTGGAGTTTCAACCTGAGACTTGGAAATACTCATAGATTTCAACAGGGCTTTGCTTTTAGTTGCAAGTTTTGGCCAAACTCAAACCTATGAAGACTGAAGCAAGAAAAAAATGTTTGCACAAATTTGTGTGGGTAAAACTACTGAGCTTCAGAGACCTCTCACGGCTACTGTAACCGGTGCTCCAAGCCGTTTAAAAATCACTAATGTCTAGAGGAGCAGCATGCTTTGGGCAGCACACTCTGGGCAGCGCTGAGGGCCTATGGTTATACATAGCCTTTGTACTTGTCTACTGCATGGAGATGAAGACACAAAACCATGGGTAAGGAAGAGAAATAGGGGAGTGGCTAAACAGTAAAAAATGGATAAAACAATTTCACCAAAATCTTTCAATATTTGGAAACTCTTTCTGTTATGCAGAGTTCAAGATTAAACATTTTTTAAAACCACAAAATATTTTTATCAAAATGTTTTGGATTTTCACTAATTGAAATTTTATTTTCTCCCTCTCCTTCCCTTCTCCTCCTGTGTTCACCACTGAACATAATAAAATAAATGGGGTTTTAAAATTCTGATTCTTATTTTTTCATTATAACTTGTCAAAAATTAGTCCAACTTTTGGAAAAGTTCTAGTGTCAAAATTACAATGTTTGAATTTTGCCTGTCTGTAACTTTCACAAGATTTAATGCAATTTTGAAAAATTACAGAGAGGAGAAAAGAAAAAGGAAAAGTGGGAACCAAAAACTAGTCTTTTTAGTGAATTCAATGTCAAAACAGGAAAATGGGGCATAAAGAGAATAAAAACATAAATCAGAAGTTTAAACAAACTCTTTTTGAAAATGGAAACAAAAAAAATTTGAAATTGAATGAAATAAAAATGTCTTTCATTTCTAAATTTCTCATTTGAAAAATTGAAATTTAGAATTAAAAAATGACATTTCCTGTGGGGGAAAACAATTTTTGACGAATCCATCATTTTTGGTTGAAAATTGTAATGCAGCTATGCTGCTACCTGGTTACAGTCATTTCAGGTGTGTAACTATATTACTTGGTTTGGTGAGAAATTATTCTGATAATTTTCTATAGTTATCCATTCTAGCAGAGTGTATAAATTGATCCTAATATGATCACACTCTTTATTTAAACTCTGAGTCTAAGCTATTAGCTATTGAAACGTTTTCCATATAGACATTGCCTGTAGTTTTTTTAAATTAATTACAATAGGACACACACAACTAGAAAGTATATCTAAACTATTCATCTTTGCTATTTCAATTACAGTCTTCTACCCTAAAGTCGAGATCAGAAAGGAAATGCATTAGCTAGATTCACTTAGTAGTTTTGGGGCAGGAGTTTGAGAGGGCTGTAGTGCCTTAAAGCAGCAAAACCTATGTAATTTTTTCAGCTACATTAAAAATATCCTTAAGAAATATTTAAGTCTTCAATCTCACTAACACTTTCGCTTAGAAGACATGACTCCTACACTACATAATAAAAATCTTTCTTGTTATGTGGATCTGCTGTGAATAGTTCTAATAGGATGAAATTGACCTATAGTACAGAAAGCCACAGGAAGTCTCTCAACCATGTAAGTCCTGATTTGGACCTGCACCAGAAGATGGTGTGATAGCCTGGAAGGTCATGAAGGTGTGTGCCCCCCAGAACTCTGTGATTTGTTATAAGTACACTTTAGAAAGAGATCAAGGACCTCAATATGTTTGAATTATACTTATTGTAATTTCTCTTTAGGAGGATGAAAGTCAACTGTACACTATGGCAAATACTACAGAGGATGGCACCATGACTCCTGAATTGGCTGAAATCATAAAACGACTGTGGCAAGACCCAGGGATCCGGACCTGCTGTGAAAGGGCAGCAGAATATCAGCTCAACGACTCAGCAGTTTAGTAAGTGACAAGAATTATAGCTTCAGAGCATCTAGATAGTATAATATTGTGCTCTCAAGAAAGACCTAAAATTAGATGATCTTTCCCAGAGCTTTAAAAGATTGTGTAAAGCAGTATAGCTCCACTGACTTCTATGAAGATACTCCACTTTATGCCTCCTGAGGATCTGGCTCAAAAAGTTTCATTGATGAATCTTTGAACCTTTCTGTTGGGTGAGTGCAGTAAGTTTGTACACTCTCTTTCTTTGTGGTGTTTTTATTGTTTGTTATTTTTCTTAAACTTCTCAAGCTCTGGGGAGTGTCTCTACTATTAGGGAGTTATAATTTAGAAATTCCTTGTCCAAATCAGTTCAAATTTGGCTGAAATTATTTACCTTGGAATCAGACATAATTTATCTAGATTTAATGTCAGTATAAGGTGCAAAATTAGGATTATAATAAAAATGCAGTTGCTGCCGTAATCATGGAATGAGTAAGACTAGCAGTTAATACTTCCTGCATGTTCAGGCACTTCACTGTTTTTGGTTTAAAAAGATCCAAAGTGTGTGTATATTGACTAGCATCTACTTTACTACTTCAGTATCTACTGAAGACTGCTGTGGCTGCTGACTTGCATAGAACTGACCACTGGCTAGAATAACTGATAGCCCAGATGCTCGGAGAATGGGAATTTAGGCTTAATACATAATAGTTAGACTGAAATTTTAAAATACTAATTTGGCCATTGTCTGCTGAACATATACATCAGGCTGACATTGAAATGCTGAGAAGAGCGGAATTACACCTTCCTTCTTCTGATCCGGCTTTTCAGTTTACAGTGTGAAAATCCTATTTCAAAACATATATTTACTAATCTGCAAGGTCAGAAAAATCCCAGCACTTGCACTTTTTAAATGTGCAGTTCTGTTAATATTGCCAGATTAGAATGGTGAGCTGTGGAGTTTGCTTGGAGTTGAACTGTATGTATCCCTCACTGAGCAGACCTTGTGTGAGAAATGAAAAAAAGTACAAAGCCTAACAAACATCAGAGAGACTTCCACCTGGGCTACATTCCCGGTTTGCCTTTGCTTAAACAAATCACTGTCAAAGTGCCAGCTCAGAGAAAGCCTAGGGGTCTGAAGATGTTGACGACATTGTTGAGACACATATCAAAACTAATATATTTTACCTTTACATTGTGTTCCCTGTTTGGATATCAGTTGTAAGAGTCAATGTATTTATAAGCCAAAAACAATCTTGCCTTCCTTTTTTGTTGCTAGCTCACAACTCTCTTTATGTTAGCTTCTAAGCTCTGAATGAAAAGAATCTTTACATGTTAGGGAGTTGGGTTACTGATGAGCCCTTTCTCAACCTTTTCTTGAAGTTAAAAGTGACAAGAGAAAGGTGGGTTTAAGGACAATCCAGGCATTTAAGATTCAGGAGATCTGATTAAATCCCTGACTGAGCCACAGACTTCCTGTGTGATTTCAGGAAAGGCATTTAAACCTACATGCCTCAGTTTACCCACTCTGTAAAATGGGGATATTTGAGGATATTAAAAAAAAATGGGGCTCCCAACTTGGGTTAAGGTTCCCCTTAGCACTACTATAATATAAATTTTAATTAACAATAGTAATTTATAATAAAGAGCACACACACATTCCTGGACCTTCAACTTGTGAATTCATGCATGTGCAGGGAAATGAACCTTAGCTGTGAATTCTTCTGAAGCATTATGTTGTCTCATTATGGCATTATTCCATTTAGAAGCTGAAAGATATTATACGAACAACCTGGCAGCATTGTCTGATGCTCAGTTTCCTGGCAGATCTGCCTCTATCAGGGATTTTGTCTCAATGGCAATTTCTACTTGATTGAACTGATTTTAGTAGACAAACTACCTTTCTTACCTGTTCTTCTATAAAGCAATCTTGAAGAATATTAAAGAGATTAAAGATTAAATCTGTCCTGAATCTGAAGTTTTCCAGTAAACATTGAATTCATGGGGCTAAATTCTTGTGGGTATCCCATAGATCCCCACTGATATCTATGAGATTCCACTATGTATGTGAGAGTAGAATTACTTCAGTGGAGTTTCTCTCAGTTTACCGGTGTGCAAGAGAGAAAGAGAAGTAAATACAGGTCCATTTATACTGGGAAAAACACTTTATTGGTATCAGAAATCCCTTTTGATTAATGGATTATTAATCTCTCTTCAATTTCTTTAGCTATCTCAATGATCTGTCCAGGCTGACAGCTCCTGGATATATTCCTAATGAACAAGATATTTTGCGCTCACGAGTGAAAACAAGTGGAATTATTGAGACTCAGTTTTCCTTCAAGGATTTGAACTTCAGGTATAAAACCATCTGAAACTTCTTCCTGGATTTGTCACATTTGAAGCTCTTTGTATAAAGTTGAGAGAATAATTACAAAAGGCTGATTCCTCTGGATGCTATATATATAAAAAGTCTGGGATATTAATAACTCAGGTGTGACATTTCTGAAACTTCTCTTAGGGTATATCTACACTACCCCGCTAGTTCGAACTAGCGGGGTAATGTAGGCAAACCGCACTTGCAAATGAAGCCCGGGATTTGAATTTCCCGGGCTTCATTTGCATAAGCCGGCCGGCGCCATTTTTAAATGCCGGCTTGTTCGAACCCCGTGCCTTGTGGCTACATGCGGCACGGGCTAGATAGTGGATGTAGCCGCAAGGCACGGGGTTCGAACAAGCCGGCATTTAAAAATGGCGCCGGCCGGCTTATGCAAATGAAGCCCGGGAAATTCAAATCCCGGGCTTCATTTGCAAGTGCGGTTTGCCTACATTACCCCGCTAGTTCGAACTAGGGTGGTAGTGTAGATATACCCTTACTTATTTGATAGTTCATAGATGAAACAAGGCAAATACTGGGCTGTAAACTTATCTCATTTAAGTTCATAGTGAAATGACTTGCACGTGTCAAAGAATCAGGTTCTTTGTGACTTTGTGATTTTTGACTTCAGTGCCATTTGCCTATCTAAATGACTTTAGCAGCATGCAAACATTCTACCAGTACTGATTTGCATCAACTTTCTTTCTTTCTTTTTTTCCATAAGAAGAACTACACTTGCATTGATTTTTAAAATTATTAGTGTGGGTCAAAAATTGGAATTTCTGTCCAGTGCCACCATTGTCTTGAAATTCTCATGATGCACTGTGACTGTTCAACTAGGTGAGGGGGGTGGGGGAACTGGAGGTGTAGTCCAGCCAAGGAGCCCAGCACATAAGGAATAGTAGGGGCATGAGTCACCTCAACTACAACTCTGGTGATTAATTCAAACAAAAGCAGATTAATGTGCACAGGCCACAACAAAATGTTTCAATTTGACAAACTAATATGTTTACATTTGAGTTGTCCCCACTTGGATTTTCTCTATTATGAATTTTTTTTAAATCAGCAAATTCAAAATTGTTCCATAGAAAATTTGATTTTGAATCAACTGAACATTTCATTGTAAAAACATAACCAACTGTTGTAGTTATGTCTGCTTCCAACTAAAGTCTTTTCCATAAAGACTAAAGAGTAAAGCAACTCCCAACCAACTGATCTGTACTTCCAACTATACAATTTTTGAAAGGATTCATATTAAAAATATACAAGTACCTATACAGCTGGGTGACCAAAGGTTCTTGAGTGATTAAGTACCTGTTAAAAAGTAGATATTTTACTCTTAATTCAGTTAAGCATTTTGATTCTGAGTGTAGCAATATCTAAACACCTTTAAAAATCAGAGCCTTAATTGTTACTGCTAAGTCAGCCTGGCTTTTCCTGGTCCCTATGTTTCCTATTGATCAGTTTGCCCATTTTCTACATGCAAAAGAATTAAACAAACAAAATGCTAATGGATCTGTGTTGCTTGCTTTCTCCCTGCCTGTATCTGTTACAAAGAGACCCTTCCCCATTCATTTCAATGGGAAATTTAAGGTGCACTCCTGCACTGAGCTCTGGATAGATGGATTCCTTCACCCATGCAGAGCCCTAGTGATGTAACAGAAGCTCTGCATGAATGCATGGTGCCAGCCACATACAGTTCCTTGCAGAATTAGGGCTTTAGTTTGTACTGGATCCCCAATACATATTTGGAAGAAAAATGCCAATGTGCTTGGCTTCCATGAGGAGAAACAAGAATTCATGCCCACCCATGGCTTGAGCCAGCTGGGGATTTCAATATCCATCCATCCATCTAGTAACTTTATGTACTTTAGAAGTGTGAGTGTGTCTTCAGTACCTATTGACATACATGAGATGTATATTATTCTTTTCTGCCCAGAATGTTTGATGTGGGTGGACAACGATCAGAGAGAAAGAAGTGGATTCACTGCTTTGAAGGAGTTACTTGCATCATATTTTGTGCTGCACTCAGTGCGTATGACATGGTCCTGGTGGAAGACGAAGAAGTGGTGAGTCAGAAGTTGGGGGGGGGGACTTGTGAGTTGGGAAGATTTAATGTCTTCCCTGATAGCACATTAGACTCCTCCCCTTTCCTTTTCCTAATACCCTTATTTGAATGGCTAACACACTGTAGTGGTATAATGCTAGAAGAGCACAGCAAAATAAAAGCACCATGAGGCAATGGACTCTATCAGATTCTAATGGGTACTGTTTGCATTTTAACAGAACAGAATGCATGAAAGCCTTCAGCTCTTCAATAGTATCTGTAACCACAAATACTTTGCTACCACCTCCATTGTGCTGTTTCTAAATAAAAAGGATCTCTTCCAAGAAAAACTAACAAAGGTTCATCTCAGCGTCTGCTTTCCAGAATACAATGGTAAGTTATAGGTTTTAAGAGGAAAAATACATTAAAATAGTCAGCATTGGCAAAGCTGCCGAGAGCTGTCAGTAGACTATTAGGACAAAGGGCCACTGTTTAATTTTCATTCTGTGTAAATGCTCTATGGATACATATCAAACCAAATGCAGACCAACAAAAGTGGGTTCAGTGCTACTGAAATTGATGGAGTTTCACCACAGCCATATCCACACTACAGATAAGATCAAAGCAGCTGCAGTCAATCTTTCAAGGTTCAAATTAGCAGGTCTAGTAAAGACATGCTAATTCAAACTGACAGAGGTGCTCCCATCAATGCCAGTAGTGCTGCTTCCACGAGGTGTAAGGGACATGCTCCCTTCAACTTCCCACAATGTGAATGACGTCGAAATTCGAGTTAAGATACTTTGACTTAAGCTGTGCAATTAACATAGCTGTAGTTGCATATCTTAATTCAAATTTATCCCCTAGTGTAGACCCAACCCTATTTATACTGGGCCTGAATTTGCCCCAATCTGTCTGCATTACATAAAGATATACTGTAAAATGTGTGAATGCTAGTTCTTCTTGGAGGTCATAATTTCTATGGATATAGAAGAAAGCTGTCATTATATGCTGGTACAGTAGAAGATGTAAAGTCATGTTGCAATGCACCAGTAGAAAAAACGTACCGTGCTCCAGACTGTTATCCTAATGTGTACATGAAGGCCCACATTTTCAAAAGTGACTACTAGTTGTGAGTGCCCAACTTGGGATACCTTTCACAGGGTCTGATTTTCAGAAGATGCATTCTCAGTACTTTTTGAAAATCAGGCGTCTTAAAAGTGTCTTCAGTTGACCAGCCAAAATTGCTAATCAATTTTGAAAAATGAAGCCAAACATTTAAACAATAGGGTCAGACTTAATGGAGTGATGCTGATACTGGATTAGGATGTAGTCTTGCATAAACTTGACTGAGGCTCAGCACATGTCCGGGCAACAGCTGGCCAAAAGATTTCTCCACCACATCCCTAGAATCTCCTTCTAAGATCCTTCTTTCTGTTAGAGAAGCTGTCAGCCGACGGTCAGGGCAGTGTGTGTGTGTATGTTTCCGAGAAAAGGTTTAACGTCCGTGCCTTTACTGCTAGGACCGGGGTCCCATCGCAGAGGGTGGCCAGCAGGCCAACAGACGCCCCGTTATATAGGAAGAGCTTATTACATCTTAGATTTCAGCTGCTAGAATTTCATAATTCCTTCGCAGCGGGCAGCCTTGAGGAAAGACTGAAAGATGCCCCAGTGGGTCCTGTCACCTGGGAGTGACACAGATCCAAACGCCCAAGCTCTTCCTATAACTGTCCCTTTAGACCGGCTGAAGTTCTTTTAAATTGTGCTTGGTTCTGTTACAGCAACTGAAGGAGGCAGGTTAAAGCTTAAACAGTTACAGGTTTATTAAAGAAGCTTATAAATCATATGGTTACAATGGCTATTGCTCTATTTCTTAACTATTAGCAAAATATAGGTCTTAAAAATGGTTACAAAGAAGATAAAGATAGAAAAATAGAAATAATGGTACCAAGTAACAGCTTACTCTTTCTATGTGTACACTTAAGACAGAGGACCACATCCAGGTACCATTTTTACCCCCTTCTGTGCCTCTCGACTCCAGCATGTCAGGCCAGGGCCGGTCCCTCAATTCCTAGGAAAGACGAAAATACGAGGTGGGCGTCCCCATAGAACCTCGGGAGGTCAAACACCTAACCCGACCAGCAGGTAGAGGGTAGAATGACACTCAAAGTGAGTGTGTGCTGGGCCCATCTTTTATAATCATGAGGTCACGTATTTCTCTTTCTTATCTTAATTGCCAATTGATGCTGGTCTGTCTGCTGTGAGACCAGTTCTTACAAGGGAGTTGTGAACTTAATTTACACTTGTAAGAGAGATTTGAGATGATTAAATTTTGAAGTACAGGACATTGTTTTCTCAGTGGAAAATTCCTCTCAGGGACTGTGTGTGTGTTCGAATCAACATAGGGGCCAGCCGCAGCCTCGAGGCCAGCTTATTGACATTAGCTGCTCTCTCTCCACGTATCTGTGTTTCAGCTTCTCAGGATCAGATGAGCCAGCATAGACTATGCTGATATTATTGCTCCTTCTCTGTCCTGTATGCTTCAGAGAGGCAAATAAGATGGATAATATGGAGGCAGGCTGTCTGGCCACATTCCACCCCCTGATACGACACACCACATCCCAGGAATGCAAGATGGTGGCTTGCCAGTGCCTCTTGCCCACCTTGGAGGAATTTAAAAGTACCCAATGGCCTGATTAGAGGGTTTAGGATCTAGGAATTGACTAGGGACCTTTCCTGGTTATGTGTATTGAATGTGCACACAAGAGATAGCTACATTATCTAGGCATTGCACAATACATAGGGTTATGCAGAAAAGGAGTCACAAAAAGAATTCAAGAAAATTACATAAAGAAAAAATATTGCATTCTAAGAACTATTTGACTTTCTTGCTTTTTTCTTGATCTTTTTCCTCTTTCTTCTTCGTGCCTGCTTTCCTGTCAGCCTTTTTGTTTCTATGCTCACTCTTGTCTTCCTTTCCATTTCTGACCTGCTGTTTTTTATCTTGTCTTGGTTCTCTCCTTACTGTTCTCCTCCCTTTGACAAGTCTCCCAACACTTTTGCCAGCAGAAAACTGGCACCATGTTCCAAACTGTTTCAAAGGGGTCTAGTAATTTTGAGAGCCCAACCCGAGACCTCTATCAAAAGCCCTAATTTTCAGAGGATAAGTTCTCAGCATTTTCTGAAAATCAGACCACTTTAAGGTGCCTTAAGTTGATCCTCCAAATTTGCTAGTCAATTTTGAAAATTGAGGCCTATGTGGTTTTTTTCTATTTCTCCACTTCCCCCCGCTTTTTTACTCCTTCCTTTTCTCACCTTCCTTTCTGCCAGTCCTTTCTTTTCTGTTTTCCTTTGTTCCATTCTATTTTCATCCAATTATTTTCTCATCTCTTCCTGTTTCTGCTACTTACTAATTTCCCCCTTTTGACAAGTCTTAAACCAGGCCAATTATTTACATGTTGAGATATGAATTTTGGTTCTGACCTTAGTTTCAGAATTTTAAAGCATGAGTACCTCAAGTTATTTACCTGACAAAATTGTTTCCTATCAGCCTGTGTGAAGACTTTGGTGAAAAATGTTTGTCATCTGCTCTTGTCTCCAACTAGGACTAAACACATTTGAAGATGCAGGAAATTACATCAAGCAGCAGTTTCTAGACTTGAATTTAAGGAAGGAAGACAAGGAGATATATTCTCATATGACCTGCGCCACAGACACCCAAAACATCAAGTTTGTTTTCAATGCAGTAACAGACATAATAATCAAAGAAAACCTGAAAGACTGTGGGCTCTTCTAATATCTGTTCCCTGAACCGGAATCCTTTCTTTCTTCCTCTGCCTCTCTCTTTTTTTCCCCTCTTTATCCTGCATATTGATAGTAGTAGAAAAATGAGAGAAAAGAGAACATTCTATCAGCTAGGCTTAGGTCAGATGCAACTTTATACGTTGGATGTAGTTTGCATTTTAGGGGGGCGAAATGTGTAAGGAGTGTGCCACTAAAATCAATATGAGTGAAAGGTGATCAGCACTTCTTAGGAAAAGTGCAGGGTGTGTGGGGGGGGAATGGTGAAAAGTGAAAGACAATATCCAGGAACGTTCATGTTGGATTTCTTAAGGCTTTAGAAAAACAATATTAAAAAATAACTCCAAATATTATCCAACCATTTCAGTTCAGTGTTCTTCTGGTTTAATGTTACATTGATGGTTTGAAATTATGCTGCATGAATTCAACAATTTTGTGCAAATATAGACTAAGGTGCCTCCGCCCCCTATCCCCCACCCCCCGGTGGAATTTTGATTGTTGTGTTTAGTTGGCTTATGACATAGCAATGCAAATCAGATTTCTCAATATTATTTGTGCTAAATTGATTACAGAATATATATGCCTACATATAAATACATATATATTAATTCATTCAAGAACTATATATAGAATTTGAAAAAAAAATCAATTTTGGAAGAAGCATGAGGCATCCATTTTGGGATATGGGATAAAGCAGAATTAAAGATATACCTTACAGTACATCCCTTCTTTGATGTGAGTTTAGGGCTCTGAAACCACTTATCTCTGGTCATAGTGTGATAGCTGCCATCTTGGATGATTGAAAGATCTGTATATGCACAGAAAAGTAAGGGATACAAAGAACAGTCTATAAATATATGAAAGGCAAACAGCAAAGACTGAAAGGATTCAAAGGTAGGATTAGTGGAATAAAATTAAGAAAGATAAATTTTAGTTCTTGTTTCAGGAAGATCTTCTAGACAATGACACCCATTAGACTGTATATAGCTGCTCACAGAACTTTTAAAACTAAATTGAGCAGAACACTAGAAAATAGAGTGTAGCAGAGAGTCCTTCATTATACAAGATGACCAAATAGAGTAGGGTGTGCCATCCCTAATCTCTGTGTTTCTGTTATCTTCTAAATTGCAAGCCTTTTACTTAAGTAATTCATCATTTGTATTTTAGTAACTTGTATTCAACATCAAGGTCTTGAGATGACTTTAAGCCAACCAATTATGTTTAAAATGAACTCTGTTAAGAGTGGCAGCATCAACATTAATTTCTGAGTGCCATTATGGAATAATGCAAAGCAAAACCTTTTTTTAATTGCAAAATCCTTGTTTTATTTATGATATTGTCCACACCACTTTGAGCAAGAACATGAGCAAAAAAATAGACTTTATACTGTGCCCAGAAGGTCAACAAATGCAAATTGCACATTAGAGGGGTTTATGTTGCATTCTTTGAAACATTTGGCTGGTCTCAGAAACAGGATTCTAGGCTGCAAGATCCATTGCTGTGATCCAGAATGGCAATTTCTTTGTTTTTAAAACTGAGCTCTTATAAGCTAACAATAAGAAAGAACTCCCCAGTTGAAAGCCCAACTCCAAAAATGTGCTAATCCTTCAAAAGTGCAAAGTGAATGACTTTTAAGAGAATCACCTCTTCTGATCTCAGCTGTCAGAGATGCAATGTTTATTATAGCAAGAACGTAGGTCATGCTTATAAAATGACCAGGTTTTGCTTTGGGATTATTTGCATGCAAAGCCTGATCTTTTCCCAAATATTTGCAAACTTGGTCAGAGGCAAATTTACCACCGAATACAGCTCTTCATGGCAAAATGATCTATTTCTGCCATCTAAGCAAACTCAACAACTTTCTTAATATCACCCTAAGAAGAAATTCATGATGGGCCCAGTCCTCTGAGGTGCTGAGAGCTAGACACTCCCTTTGAAATCAACATTCACAGTAGAAAGAGATTGTTGCTATAAAGTAGAGATACTTTCAGGCCTATAGATTATACATCTATTCCTGCACAGTGATCTTTTTAGGAATAGAGAGCATGGTAATAAAAATGAACTACTAATTCCTGATTTCTCAGTTGCTTTTCTTGCTTAAAAAACATAATTGATGTCATTGATTATTTTGTAATACATAATACTTCTTGAACCAGTGCACAAACCCAGCAAATGCGCTGTATCAAATGATAACTACCAAAATTTACAGACTGGCACATCATGGTTCTGACAGCTGCCTATAGAACTTTTTTCAGAAGTCCTGATTTTAAAAAACTACACCTAAAATTCTAATTTAGAATAGCAGCAATTATATGATTAGTAAAGTAAAGAAAGGCCCCCGGGATCCCTTTCAAGTCTCATGAAAATAAATGACCATTAAAAGTTTCTACAATGTGCTTGAGATACTGTAGTAAGATTTTTAGAGAAACCACTTCCATATATTCATTTCATTTTGCAGTGAAATGATGAAGCAGGATCATTTAAAGGCAAAACACTAAAGCTCTACATGCTTTATCTGTATTTGATTCTCAGCTGAATAATTAGCCTCTAAATCTCTCCCAGATAGTGAGCAAACAATAAAGTATACAGCCACTTGGGGGCATGTTGACACCATTTTTGTCCTTTCAAAATATATAGTATAATTTCATGGCTTAACTTCAGTATCAGTTCTGTGCTTCAGTATCAGAAGTTATTTTGAAATGGAACAATAAATAAAAATGGATTAGACATCATTCCTCCTAGACACATAGTTCATGCTCCCAATCCAATAATATTCAATGCCATTCAAGCAATACCATAATATAATTTAGATATTTTGTATGCACATGCATGCACACAGTGGCTAAACATTGCTGACTAGATACTCTCCCAAATTACTGTGTATGAGAATGGATAAAATTGAATTGTGATAGAGATTATATTTATCATTAAATCTTCCATCAAGTAAATGTTATTTACAGGAAATCATTGAAATCCAAACTGCCATCCTTTGTCTGACTTCAGTACGTTATTATACAAGGGACTGATCTCGCTCACACTAACTCCCAGGAGGATAGAGCAAGCCTTTACACTTTAAATACTCTGTCTTCATCTTATACAGAATCTTTCATCCATGAATTTCAAAGAACTTTACAAATAAAAATATTATGTCTTGTTGAGTGACAAATGAGGTCCACTCCAATTGGGATTTAGTTTCTTGGAGCCTTTATTTTGTATGATTTAAGACAATGTTATTACCACCTGTCATTTACGTGGAAAAAATAAGACAATAAAAGTGATTGATTAAATTACCTCTCTTGGGAACAGGGCAACTTTTTCTAAATGTCCGGTTTCTGCTATGTGCTGCCCATATTTTCTCCGCTTCCCTATTACCTGTATTTTTACTTCAGTTCTAGGCAGAATGTTACCTCATCTGTGTACCTATTCATTCTAAGCCCTTGAATAAATATTTTATGAATAAAATACAATAATTTACTAACATAATACATTTTGCTTAGCCTATCAAAAACGTATCTGTTTACTTGTATCATTTGTTTTCCACGGTTAGTCCCACTGGCTCCCTCCAGTTGCTAGAATTGATCTATTTTTCCACCCTTAGGTTTTTGCTGGTCAACTGGTCTTGGAGTGCACCTGAAGCTAACAGTTCTTTCCTGACACTCTGATTCACCCTGCTATTTACACAGACCAAAGTTTTCAAAGTAAGACACATAAACCAGGTTTCATGGTTTATACAACTCTGAAGCTGTTTCAGCTAAGTTATGGAATGCTGTATCAGCAGAGATACTTAATAAGAAAAACATGCTTTTTGGTTTTTGACATATATATAGGAAATCATTTCTTTTCCTTAACACACTATTTCACAACAATCTATTGTACAGTAGCAAAAACTGATGCATGGACCGATGAAATGACTAGGCCAAGGTCAAAGAACAGGCCAGTGGCAGAGTTGAGAACAGAAGACAGGTCTCCTGACTGGAGGCTAGTGTCAAAGCTACTAACTTAGGGGTGGACAAATACTGGCCCTTAGGCCAGATCCATGCCGCCTGGGCTAGCTCCTAACAGGTCCCCACCACTATAGTTACCTGTACTGGCAATCATAGCTTCCCTCGGCTGCGGATCACTGTTCCCACCTATTGGGAGCTGCGGGAAGCAGTGTCCCAATCCACACTGCTCCCCACCACTCTCACTGGCCAGGAATGATGACCATGTTATTTCCCACCCTTGCACTAAATCATGCTACTGCTATAGTAGCAAGACTTGTTGACCACTGAAATTCAAACAAAAATGATTTGCTGATTGATTATTTTGCTCCTGACAGAATGTTCATCTGTATTTCATTTTCATGTGAGGGTATGTCCACACAGCAAAGTTATTTTGAAATAACAGCCGTTATTTCGAAATAATTTTCCTAGCGTCTACACAAGCCAACTGCTATTTCGAAATTAATTCAAAATAGCGGCAGGCTTATTTAGAAAATGGTTAAACCTCATTCGATGAGGAATAGCACCAATTTCGAAACTGTTATTTCGAAAAAAGTGCTGTGTGGATGCTTATTTTAAAATGGGGGCCTCCAGCCCTTCCCAGGTTGCCCTGCTGGCCACCCTGGCCACAAGATAACTTCTGACCTGATGCCCTGCTCGAAACAGTTCTGGCTGGCCTTAAATGCGAGTTAACATCCAATCAGTGTGGATGTGCTATTCTGAAATAGCAAAAAGCTATTTCAAAATGCATTTTGTGTGTAAACACGTTATTTCAAAATAAAATATTTCAAAATATCTCTGTAGTATAGACATACCCTGAGAGAATTTAAAGAAAAGAAGTGGCGATTGTCTCTAGCTCTATGTCTGCATTCTTTCATGTTGTCACTTCCCTTTGCCCCCTTCACAAGTAAATGGGAAAATAAATCAGGACTGCACATTTGCTTAGTTGATTATTACTGTTATTATTAGACCAAAACAAGATTGGTCAGGTAATAGACCTTATTTGAGCAACTTCTATTGGTGAAAAAGACGATCTTTCAAGCTACACCATCTTAAAGAATAGCTCTGTGT